ATCCAGCTGAATTCCTGAGAGGAGACGAAATCCAGGTCTCCTACTCCTCCGCCATCTTGCTCCGCCCCCTAATTGGTGTATGTCTTATCTTCTGAAGTGAATTTTAACTCTTTTTTGGGGAAATAACACATGACTGATTTTGAATGTCTCTAACCTATAGCATTTAATATTACTAGATACATTGTAGGTACTTAATAGTACTTATTGTTAGGCACAGCACTTTGAGCCCAACTGAGTTTCAGGATACACACACACACACACACACACACATTCTACATACTTTCAGGATGTATATTCCTAGGTTCTTTCATAAATAGAAATACACATAGAAAGTCATAGTTAGAAATACACAGTTTCATTGACATTAGATATATTCTCAACAGGCAATAGAGTATAGGGATTAGAACATTGGATTTGGGGGGCATCTGGATGGCTCAGTCAGTTGAGCATCTGCCTTCAGCTCAGGTCATGATGCCAGGGTCCTGGGAGAGAGCCCTGCTTGGGGTTTCCTGCTCCCCTGGGAGCCTGCTTCTCCCTCTCCCTCTGCTTGCCACCCTCCCTGCTTGTGCACTCACTTTCTCTCTGTTAAATGAATAAATAAAATCTTTAAAAAAAAAAAAACAACATTGGATCTGGACCCAAAGTACATTGGTTCAAATCCAAGCTCTGTTCTCTAGCATTATAAGTTTGGGACAATTTTTTATCTCTCTATACTTCAGTTTTATCATCTATAAATGGGGTTAAATGGTATATCTTTCATAATGTCTTGAGGATTAAATTAGAAAATACATGTAATGTGAAGCACTTAAAGGAGTTCCTGGCACATGTTAAGTGTCCCCAAAATGTTAGCTGTTATTATTGTATCTATTTACATCTCCCTAGCCTCTGATGCCCACAAACATAGAGATCCCCTTTTATAAACTTATTAATTTGAAAGCATCAGCTGAATACCCATTACATACTAGATACTATCCTGGAAATACAGAGCTGAACAAGACATTCTCTTTCATAATGAATTTCACAGTCTTGTGAGGCAGATTACAGAGAAACAAGGATTACAATACAGTGTGATAAGAGCTACAGTAGAGTCAAGTAAAAGGGACCATGTGAACATGCAAGAGGGGCAAGTTGTGGTGGCTGGAGGGATGGGATTCTAAGGAGCGGTGTCCTTGGGCTGAGTCCTGAAGGTTGAGCAGAAGTTGGCTAACTGAACAAACCAAGAGAAAGGGTGTTCCAGGTAGAAGACAGCATGTTCACAAGCATGGAGATGGGAGAGTTGTTCAAGGAACTTAGGCAGTTATGTTTTACACACAGAGGGAAAGGTGGAAGAGTGGTGGTAGATTCTGCTGGACAGATGGGTCTTGACTGAACCTTGAAAGCTCAGTGTGCAAGGTAAGGAATGTGGACCCTACCCTATAATTGATAGAGAGCCATTGAAATAATTAAGCACAGGAGTGACATGATCAGATTTGGGTCCAAGGAAAATCCTGACAGCCCCATTTTGGATCAGTAATTGGAGGGGACAAAATTGGAAGAATAGCTTAACAATAAATTAAGAACCTAAACTAAGGCAATGACAAAGGAGATAAAGAGGAGGGTGTGAATTGAAAACCCATTTTTGAGATAAATTGAACAGCGATCATTTGGATATAATGTGGACAAGGGGAGATATGAGGAAGAGGGCAGAATGAAGGAATATACTCAGACTTCTGGCTTGGAGGGCTCAGAATGGTAGTATTATTTACTAGGAGGAGAAGTATTTTGGGGAGTGGGGGAAGGGGAAATGGATAGTGTAGTTTTGTCATATTGAGTAAGAGGTGTCTGTGGAAGACAGGGTACATACTGTCTGTCCAACAGAATTATCCAAAGAGCTTGTTAAATGCAGCCTCTGCACCTAAAGATCCAGATTCAGGAGACCAGAGGTGAGGCCTAAGGACCTGTATTTTTTTTTTAAATTCCCAAGTGGTTCTGATAAAGCCAGTCCACAGTTGTATGGGGATATGTAACAAAAAAAAAAAAAAAAAAAAGGAAATAGAGATTTAGGTGTCTCTGCATGAATGTGGTTGGAGCCAAGATTGTGAATGAGGTCACAGACAGACAATGGGCAAAGTAAGAAGAGGAAGGGGCCAATGACTCAGACCCTTGTAATTGTTCCAACAGTGATTTTCCTTTGCATTATCAAAAACAAGGGGACTGGGCAGTTGCAGTGGAATGTGGGATTGTGCTATGAGAGTTAACTACTCTTGGCTTATTTTTCTTTTTTCTGCCTTCCATTCTTTATGCTGCCCCAGAGTCATCTTTCAGAAGCACTGATCTCATGATGCTTTTCCTCTGTTTCCAAACTTCACATAATTCCTCCTTTTATACAGAGTGAAGTTCCAACTCCTTGGCATGGTATTCAAGGTCCTTTATGATCTAGTCTCAACCTGCATTTCCAGAGCCAGCTGCTGTTGCCTCCACCACTAATTCCTTGTGCCAGCCACGGTGGGCTTGGCCTTTGCCAGAAAGATCATTTATCTTTGTGCCTCTATACTTCCCCTTTGCCCCAAACATCCTGCCTCAGCTCTCCCTCTCTGCCTTCTAACTCACAGCTTTCCAAAGGTCATTCCTATGCAATCACACAAATCTGCTAGCATTTCTACACATACCACTGTTTATTCTGGTAATCAGCATTAAATTTGAATTACAATGAGGAAAGCAGAAAGATATTTTTCTTATAAGTAGAAACTGTGTTTAAATGGAAACCCACTCAGTCTTGAAGGTCAAATTTAACTATTCCCTTGTCTGTGTTTTCAGAGAGATGGTTTATTGTTCTAGGAGAGCATTTACTCTTAACTTCATTATTCTACAAGTAGCTATTAAAGAGTCTGCTTCCTCTATTTGATTTTTAATCCCTAGACAGCACAGACACTGTTCTCTTCATATTTAAGCTTCTATAGTCTAGTGCTTCATACCTCGGAGGTTTTTACGAAATGTTTGTTAGACTGAACTGGAAATTCTCAAATATAAGTTTAAAAACCCCACAAGTTGTAAACTCAGTTCATTCTAATAATCTGCATTCAGCTAAATTTCAGCAAAGGAAGAAGAAATGTCCCATCTTCTAATCCAAGATAATTTTAAATTATAAACTGATACAGTTTTAACCTCTGGCTCAGTACTCAGGATGCCAAATAGTACTCCTTGGAGATTACTCTCATTATTATAAAAAGTAAGCCAATGAAATCCACTCAAAATGAATTAAAGATTATGCTCTAGGAAAGTTTCCAAAACATTAAAATAAGAGAGAAAGAGAGAGAGAGAAATTTACCAGTTTAGGTTCTGAGTAGGTCCCAAGACCGATGATAGGAATGCTGTTTCCATCACTTAGAGGAATGCGGTGGTTTGTAGTGCTCAGGTACATCCTGGAGAGAGTCTGGGTTTCCAGTTTTTAGGAGTGATTCTGGAAGCCTCTCGAGAAGTCTTTTTGAAAAGATCTAGGGCCCCGTTAATCAAAGAAAGGAGAGCCAGAGGGAGGAGCAGTGGGAGGGAAGAGAGATTAGCAGATGTATTTCTCAACGTGTTTTTTTCCAGGTTGTTTTGAAAAGCCTGAGCTTGTTCTTTGAACTTCATCAGAGGCCTGTAAATAACATAACCCATTGAGAGCTGTTGCTTAGTTCTCTATAAAGGAAAGAGGGAAAACCCAAAAAGAAACAAATCTAGCTGGCTTCTACCAGTTAGGATGCTTTCATTGGCAAGTAACTGGCTGATCTCAAATTCTCTTAAATTATAAAGGACATTTATTGATTCATATTTCTGAAAGCTTCGACATAAGGGCTAGTTTCAGGTGAGAATACAGCAGTTTCCCAGGACTTCCTTGGGGATTCTGATGCAGCAGAAATGAGAAGAGGTCTGGGATTTTATTACCTTGTTAAGTTTGAGAAATACTGGGTCAGAGGAACAAGCGATGTGGCCTGGAACCAGTTTCTTACCTTCCAGTACATGTCTCTGCCTCCTCGCTCTCTCAGCAGACTGGTTCCACCCTTATTGTTAAAGGATGGTGACCAGTCCTTGGAGTGACATGGTTCCAGATACAAACTCAACAAAAAAGAGATTTTTATTTACTCCACTGCTCACACAGCAACCTAGAAATGGTCTTTTTGGTCTCCACTGCCTTTCTTGCTTCATGGATGCATCACTAAGCCAATCATGATGGTCAAAGCAGAAATATAAGATTGATCACCTGCAGACAACTAGAAGCCATGTCTACATTTAGAGTTGGGGTTAATCTCATCTGGGCAGAATCTGGAGATTGTTAAGGAAAAGGAAAGAAGTAGTGGGTAGAGAAACAACTAACAAATGTTTATTATAATTTTCCTCCAAAGGATTGTGCTGTGTATAAAATGTGAGTTTGGACCTCAAAGAAAACTGTGTTCAGGGTGGTGAAAATGTGTGGAAGTTTCCCTATAATTCACTTGCCCTCTCTCTGGGACTATATTCTTGTTTACACACACATGATCAGCCAGTGGATACAATGATTTAAAGTAGGTTTGGGCAGTGTGGAACATGGGCAACAGTAGTCTTCAACATCGTTTGTAAATCAATCCAACAAATACTTATTGTACACCTTTGTGTGCTAAGATGTTGGCTAGTATATGTTTCTCCATTTTTATTATTATTGAATTTTTTGGTGTTTAGCTCAATGAATTTCTTGGATATTTGGATTCATAATTTTCATTTAATTTGGGAAGTTTGGGGGGCATTATTTCTTCAAACATTCTTTTAGTTTCTTCCTCTGGGACTCCTATTATGTAGATGTTGGTACTTGACAGTGTCACATAGGTGTCTTAAGTTTGGTTTATTTACTTTTTCATTCTTTTCTCTTTTTTCTTCTTAAACTGGATGATCTCAATGGATCTATCTTCAAGTTCCCTAATTCTTCTGTGGGCTCGAATCTACAGTTAAACCCCCCAGTTAGTTTTCATTTCAATTATTGTACTTCTCCAGGATTTCTGTTTCATTCATTTTTATAATTTCTGTCTCTTTACTGATGTTCCGTATCTGGTGAGATGGTGTTTTCCTGGTTCCTTTAGTTCTTTCCCCGTGACTTCCTTTAGCTCTTTGAGCATATTTAAGGGAGTTGATTTCATGTCTTTGTCTAGTAAGTCCAATGCCCCAGCATCCTCATGGACACTTGTAATTTCCTTTTTTCCCCTGTGAATGAGCCACATTTTCTTGTTCCTTTGCATGCTATGTAAGTTTTTGGTTGAAAACTGGAGATTTTGAATATTACAGTGCGACAGTTCTGGAAATCAGATATTCCCACCTCCTCGGGGTTTATTGCTGCTGCTTGTTTGTGGGTTGTTATTGTTTCCTTTTTTACTGACTTCTCTAAACTATTTTTGGCAAGTCTGTACTATTTGTTATGTGAAAGCTATGTTCAGCTAACTTAGTAGTCATGGTCACTTGGTGTTTTGACAGTTTCCTTCAATGCTTGGAGCAAAAAATATATATATATATATTCTTAGTCTTTGCAGATTGGCTTTCTCGGGGCACCAGTTTAATGCTTATCCACATTGTTTACAATGCTACCTTAGTCTTTGCTTCCAGCTTGCATGGAGCCTGAAGGCCAGGCAGAGATAAAAGCTGAGGGTCTTCTCAGGCCTTTTTGACCACATGCCTAGCCCTGACAGTATGTGTGGCCTTCTTGATTAAAGTGCCCCCACCCCCCGCCATCACATATTTCCTTTCCCAATTTCTTCTTTCCCAGGCTTTTCAGTCTGGTGATTGTCCCAACTAACCCCAGGCTGCCAGAGCCAAAATCTCTTTCCTTTTCTTTAAGTTTATTTATTTAAGTCATCTCTACACCCAACGTGGGGCTCGAACTCATGACCTCAAGATCAAGATCTGCCCACTCCACTGACTGAGCCAGCTAGGTGCCCCTAAAATTTCTGTCTTTAAATGCACACAACAAAAGCCTCCTGGGCAGCTACCTTTGTCCTAAGAATGCTTTGAGTCAGGCAAAATAAAAGCAAACACTTACATGTTCCTTCACGGAGCCACCAGACAGGCTGGGACTCACAATGACAATTCTTTGAGAGTAACCTCTCCGTCGCTTCCTGTGGCACTAGCATCCTGTACCAGGAGTGTTGGCTTAGTCCTCATGGCTGCCATGGATCAGGGCTGTGGGGGATGTTCAGTGGGCCATTTGAACCACTATAGCCCTCTCTCTTTCTGCAAAGCAGCAGCTTCTTTCTTCACTAAGCTTACCCCTGGTTGTTTTAAGTTCTTGACTAGACTCCAAAGTTCTGCAAAAAATGAGGCTGACACTTTTGACAGCTCATTAGTTGTTTTTTTAATAAAAAGACAGAACCCTGGAGTTCCCTACTCTGCTACTTTCCTCTTTTTATTTTTTTTAAAGATTTATTTATTTATTTGAGGGGGGGCAGAGGAAGAGAGAAAGAGAGAGAGAGAATTTTAGGCAGGCTCCACCCCCAGCGTGGTGCCCAGCATGGGGCTCCATCTCATGACCCTGAGATCATCACCTGAGCTGAAAGCAAGAGTCAGACACTTAACCGGCTGAGCCACTCAGGCGCCCCTCCTCTTTTCATTTTTAAAAATATTTTTTATTTCTGTTTTGAGATTGGATTATTTCTATTGACTTATATTCAGGTTCACTAACTCTTTCCTCTGTCTTCTTCCCTCCATTCTGCTACTGAGTCCATCCAGTGAGTTTTTTCTTAGATAGACTTTATTTTTTAGGGAAGTTTTAGGTTCACAGCAGATATGAGTAGTAAGTACAGAAGGGTCCCATCCACTGCCCTGACTTTTCCCACTATCAACATGCCCCACAAGAGTGGTACATTTGTTACAATTGAGGTACAGGTTTGACATTACTATCTACCAAAGTCCATAGTTTACATTAGGGTTCAGTGTTCACATTGTACCTTAATGGATTTTGAAAGATATATAATGTCATGTATCCACCATACTGGTATCATACAGAATAATTTGACTACCCTAAAAATCCTCTGTGTTCTGCTTATTCATCGCTCTCTCCCTCCTAATCCTTGGCAGCTACTGATCTTTTTACTGTCTCCAAAGTTTTGTTTTTTTTCAGAATTTTGTACAGATTTTTCAAATTGGTTTATTTTGCTTAGTAATATGCACATAAGGTTGCTCCATGTCTTTTCATGGCTTGGTAGCTCATTTGGTATTAATGGTGAATTATATTCCATTGTCTGGATGTACCACAGTTCTTTCTGTCTGCACCCTGGTGCCCACTTTCTGATTGATGGGGGGATCCTGAGAGACTCCAGTGGTACATGAGGTCTGCTCTTCTTTCCACTTCTACCTGCTACTATTTATTTTTCAATCTCCTGAAATAACTTTCTCATATATATTTCATGTTTTTTCACTATTCAGTGACACTTTATCACATTTTGACTACTCAGAAAAATTAATCTTTATTCAAAAAGAGCTAAGGATTGGGGTGCCTGAGTGGCTCAGTCAGTTGGGCATCTGACTCTTGATCTCAGCTCAGTTCTTGATCTCAGTGTTGTTGGAATCCTGCATTCTATAATTCTGGAAAAGCTATTTTTGTTCCCAGAAGCCTTAGACCTCCTTCCTCTAGACCCTTTGAACACCTTGCAGCTGGACTTCAACTGTCACTTAGTGTGTGTTATCGAGATGTTCTTGTTATTGTTTGTTTGTTTTCTGGATGGGTCGAAGCTTTCCCCTGCTGTAAGGCTGATGTTCTTTTGGTGGCAAAAAAACTGCTAGAGAATGTATTTCCCACCTGGGATGCACCTTCCACAATCTCCAGTGATGGAGGCTCTCACTTCACTGGACAAATCATACGAACCGTAATGAAATCTTGCAAACTCCTTGTAATTCTATCCGTATACAACCTTCCGCTGATGCCTTGTTGTCTTGTGCTATATGGCCAGTGTCTGTTAAGTCTCTAATGTCTTATGCTCAAGACTTTGTTCTACAGAACATGGTGACCGGGTATTTTAGAAATGTCATCAGAGGGGGGTGCCTGGGTGGCTCAGTTGGTTGAGCGACTGCCTTCGGCTCAGGTCATGATCCTGGAGTCCCGGGATCGAGTCCCGCTTCGGGCTCCCTGCTCGGCAGGGAGTCTGCTTCGCCCTCTGACCCTCC